CTATTTTTTTGGTGGCGCAAAATAATTTTGTTGACCCTGATTTGTTTTCTGTAGGTAGTCATGCACGTACGACATGTACATGAATTGTTTTAGATTTTTTAATCTAGCGAATATGTTTCTAAAATTCTTTAAAGTCGGGATACTTTTTGCACCCCGCTTTGAGGCTGTCGGGATTTGAACTCGTGAATTTTCACGAGTTCTTTCCCTACCTCTCCCAATCTGACAACTGCCATCCCCATTTTCAGGGGAAGGCAGGGGAGAAAAGAAGAAGGGGGGGGGACTGAGGCAAAACGAGGGTGCTAGAGCAGCAGCAAAAATAAAAGAAATAACGTACCTGGTTACTATCGGGGCCAGGTTCCCAAACGGTTTGCTGCACTTGGTGCAGCAAACTAGCAAGGGGGCATGCACCGAATATGGCCAGGGTTGAAGAGAGAAAGAGGGCACCTTTCTTAAATTTTGCTTGAACCCGGCCGCTGTCCGGGCCATGTTCCCAAGGCCTGGCTCTTAACTTGGCCAGGTCTAGGAGAAGGTGCACTGCTGAGATTGAACCTCGGCAGTAGCAGACCAACAAGGGTTGTGGCTAGATACAGCCCCCCCTTGCTGGTTTTACAGCAGGAAAAAGGCCAGGTCCTTTTCTTTATGAGTGGACCGGCCATTTCTGCTGTGAGGGGCTGGTATGTGCCCTTGATCTCACCAAGAGATCAAGGGCCCAGCCTTAGCTCGAATTTTTGGCTGAGAGATCAGGCTGCTACCACTACCTCCCACAACTATAAAAGCAGCCAGCAAGTAGCCAGCCAGCAATCATTTGTGGCTGGTACTGCTAGCAATTCACTTGAGTGAATGCTGGTTTGCTGCTGCTGGGAGGAGCTGCTAGTGAGAGGAGGGGGAACTGCTGCTGGTTGAAGAGGAGGTCTGCAGGCGAGGGAGGAAGAGAACTGCTTGAGGTGGCCATAGTTGTGGAACACAGCCACAGCCGCCATCTCAGCAAGGTGAAGAGAGAGGGAAGCGCTGGAGGTCTGCAGGGAGCATGAGAGGGAGGGCAGCCATAGCTGCCGCTGCAGTTGGTGGGGCGCAGAGGAAACTCAGCCCATTTTGCACGGCAGTGGCAGGGTCTTTAGCAAGCGGCGCAGGGGAAACTCTGCCCGGCTTGCACGGCGGCGGCGAGTCTTCAGTAAGCGGTGCAGGGGAAACTTTGCCTGTTTGGCACGGCAACGGCAACGCTTTTTGACGGTGATGCGGAAACGCTGCCGTTTTTTTTTTTTTTTTTGCTGCAGCCGCAGTGCGTTATAGGTAGTGACGGGGAAGCGCTGCCAATTTTTTGCAGCGGCATCGCTGAGATTTTGGTGGTGACGCGGAGATGCTGTCGAAATCTTCCGGCGTCGACGGTGTTTTTTTTGGCTGCGACGCGGACGTGATGTTGAACTTTTGTGGCGGCAGCAGCACGTTCTAGGTGGTGACGTGGAAGCGCTTAGACTGTGAGGGGCATTTTGTGGCAGCATGTTCTGGTATTATCGGCAACGGCGTGGTGGTGCAGTTGGTGGTGGATACGTTGAGACGCCGTCAGATTACTGGGAGGTGGTTGTGTGTTGAGAGGGTGTCGCGGCAAGCGACCGTACTAGAAAGTAGTGTAGATCGTTTTGCGGGCAACTTGTTGTGACGATTGTCTTCTCTGGAGTGTGATTTTACACGGTCTTCTTGAGTGGGCCGTCTCTTCAACTTCACTCACGGTCAGTTGTTTGACTCAGACCCCTTCACACCTGT